TGTCCGGGCAGGGTGCAAGCATGCCCTCACTACAAGGTATACAGATCAGAAGAGACATGAGTTATACCTGAGTTCCGTTCTGAGGGACCAATGAAAAGATAATGATTTTACTTTGGCCTTGACTTGTAAGAATCTGGAGTTTAATAGTCCCTATACAGAGATATTGTGAAGATAAAAATGAATTAGGTAAATATACATGTACTCTTCTGTCTTCCACTTGTTTTTTCCATTGACATTTTATAATTCATTGTTTTTATTTAACCTATGTTTAAATAATCCTAGATTTGTTGAAAAATAGTGCAAAGGAGTTCCACATACCATTCGCCTAGATTCCTCAAAATCAGTTTATATGATCAATCTAACTTCAAATACCAGAAAATTAACATTGATGAGGGGCTGGGGATGTAGCTCAGTGGTAGAATAATTGCCAAACACACAAAGCCCTGAGGTGTAGCTCCAGTACCACATAAAACTAGGCATGGTGGTGCAAGCCTGTAATGTCAATACTAGGGAGTTGAATGCAGAAGAGTAAGAAGTTCAAGGTCATAGCCAACAAGATAGCTCAGCAGTTAAAGGTGCTTGCAAACAAGTCTGACAATTTGAGTTCAATTCCAAGAACTCACAAGAGGGAACTGACTCCCATAAGCTTTCTTCTCACTTCCACACATGCATCATGTTATGCATATTCACATGATTATATGCAAAAATTTAAAAAGGTTCAAGGTCAGCCTGTGCTATATGGGACCACCTACATATTCTATTAAAAAGTATATATATATATATATATATACATATATATATATATATATACATATTCCAAGATTATATGCTTCATGATGGCTGTTCTCCTTTATCTGAGACAGTTTCTCAATCTTGGTCTTTCATGATCTTTATAATGTTGAACATGCCCATTATTATACATAAACCCTCTAGTTTGGGTTTGTCTGATGTTTTCTCATGATTAATTTTGGGTGGCTTGTTAATTTATGTCATCAGGGGATGGCATAATGGAGAATAATATAGTGTCCCAGTTATATAGACACTTGCCACAAACCTGGATCTAAATTTTGACTCTAATAGACAATGTGACCCTGGTTTTTGTTTCCTCATTGGGCATATGGGAAATATCAGTATGTATCTCCTCAGGCTGTTGGGATTAGTAAAAATGTAAAAACTTATATACTGTGGTTAGAACATTGTTACCTAAAATGAGGAGCTGGGCATTTGGTGATTTTTCTAATAGAAACCACGTTCTTGGCAGTTCACATACACAAAAACCTAAAGGAGCAGCAGGTGATTTAGCAATGTATATCCTTCTTTTTCCCTACCCAAAGGACAAGGGCCAAAGACTTATTGTCAGCAGGACTTCTGGCCTACAAAGAGGTACACTGTTTATTTTAGCTACCAATCTGCTTCTTTCTAAAACTCCTGAGATCAGGTCTTGCTTAAACCATAGAGGAACATTTCTTTAGAACCAAGGATGAATGAACTAGGCACTGAGCTCTGGTTTCTTGCTCATCCAATGAATGAGAAAATGTGAATGAAAAAATATCAAACTAATGCCATCTCTTTTTTTTTCTGATAACTATTCCCAGAACTCAAGCCTTCAGACTTCATTAGTATGCATCCAGCATTTTACCCGTAGATGCATTTCACTGAATAACCATAGTGATAACCTCAGTCCCTAACCTTTGCATGTGTTTCTTGCTGAAGAGGTCAAATCACTCAGACCTCACAACAGCCACTGTATTCGTGAATCGAAGGCAGACAAAGCAGGGAGACAGAGTGACCCATTGGAGGGGGGAAGGGAAGAAATCCTGAAAAGACTGATTTCAGTAAGTTAGAAAGCATGTATTACACATATGTAAAATGTTGGTAAATGACAAGTGTTCATCAACTAGTGTCAGGGCAATAAGCAAGTCTTTAATATAAAAATAACTATGCTTCCACCTGAGTAGCAAATGACATTTTACAAAACAAGTCTGATCCCTTAACTCATTTGAGTTCTATCACATGGAGTAACAGTATTTGAAATTTTAACTCAGATTTTGTCTCTGAATACAGCACACTTCTTACAATAATAAAAACAAAAACTCTAGACTAACTGGAGTACTAATTGAATTGAAAGGTTACTAAAATGAAGTGACTGAAGTGTAATATGCAACACAATCAGATTTAGGTGGAGCAACTGATTTGACAGATAAGCACTTTTCCAGGAAAGAGTCTTCTTTCTCAAGGCCTGAGTGTAGCCTGAAGCATGAAGGGAGATGTGAATACGCACATCTTTGAACTAACTTTCAAGCTGCAGTAAAACTTCATCTCTGGTCACTTAATTATCAAATAGTTTCAATGGGTCAAAAATGCAGATCACACAGAATGTACATCATACTCCCTCCAGTGTGTGGGCAACAGTAAAAGTCTACGATGAACATTTAACATGAATTTATTGAGCTGGTTGTGTTTTATACTTTTTTTGTGCTAAGGATCAAACCCAAGAGCTTGTGCATGCCTAATACACACTGTTTCATAGCTATATCTTGGCTGAGTCTTTATTTGTACAATTATAAAACATGGTTTTTATTACAAATTTTCACAAGTTTTTTACCCACCTCAAATTAAGTACTGCCATAAAACATCAGTTGAATTCATGGAGATGTAGCAACTATATATGCAAATAGAAAATTAGAAACTTACTTTCTATTACTAAATTGTACCCATAAAACTTTAATATCAAATTGATACTTTAAAAAAGAGGCTCAACTACTAATCATATCATACCAAAGTTTATTGATTACATGAGACGAAAATTTCTGTAACGAAAAAGGCAAGTTGCATTCATAAAAGATGGCATTCACGTTCATTTTAGAAAGCAACGAAGTAGATGTAAAAAATTGAAAAATGTAATATTGCAGTTCCATTTTACAAGCTGAAAAATGATTTTATCAACATCTGCATAAAATCTGCACATTTATATACTGCATATTATTAAAAAATTCCATCACTAAATTATGACTTTTGCAAATTTAGGCTTACATTTATACTGTTGCTGGTGTATATGTAGTAGATATGGAATGAATATTTTCTGTTTAATAGGCAACACCCTCAAACAAAAGACAACAGTTTGGAAAATTACATGGACATTTTGATCATTCAAAAATCATTCTATTTATGGTAATATGGTCCTACTGGTTTTCTTTCTTTTTTCTTTACAACTGATTTCTTGCCCTCTTCTGATATAGGAGTGGTTAGATTGTAGTGCTAGGAATACTGGATAGCTCATTTCAAGTCACTTCATCTGCTAATCCCATGTTAGCCATGTTTTAGATCTTTAGTAAAAATCTTTCAAAAAGCAAACCCAGGTTCCTCTGATTTGAGCTGCAGTGTACAATGTAATTTGTCTGAGACATGACTCTAAATACCCCTCACTTGCTTATCTAGATTTCCCTCCACTGCAACATGTCACATATATTCAGTTTTATTATCTACTATCCTGGATATCCAGATATATATATATATATATATATATATATATATATATATATATATATATATATTAACTCCTCAGTCGTTCTTCATTAACTAAGCCTCTCTATTTGGCTCTTACAGCTATTCACAGTCCTTATAGTTCTGATGTAAAATAATAATACAGCAGCAACAACAATAACAAAATAGCAAAGCTTTCCTGGGTTAGATGTTTTAGCTCTTTGGAATAGGCAAAGAATAGAAAGACTTTGCTTTCAGCAGATCACCTCAAATACAGGCTACAAGAGCACACAGCACATTTAAGCTGTGAATGACACCTAACAAAACACTCAAAAATAATACTGATAGACAAAAACAAATTAAATTAAGTAATTATGGAATGGTTTCTGATAATTGAAATTATGACCTTTACAGAATTCAAGAAAAATTACATGTAAATATCAACACAATATATGTGGAAGAATCAAATGTGCCATATGGACTATATAAATATACTGGAATAGAAAGAATGCAATACTTTGCTAAATCAAGGTACAATATAAACAAACAGTACAAGAATGTCAGAAGACAAAAAAGTTGGAAACTGATAGAAAAATATTTTTTAAATATTATTTTAGTCTAGCTTTCAAATGTAGTCTTTCTATCAAATAAAGACTTCATGTTTTAAGTGAACTATTAGGGGTTAAAACCTCTTTGTTGTCCAGAAGTTTGAGAATCTTACCAAGCCCATCTCACAGTTCAGAATTAGACCACTTGCCTGTCCCAGTTAGCTACAAGAGACAACATTCATGTCCAAAGAGCCTTGCCTCTACAAGCTACTGAATAGTTTTGGGATGAATCTCTCCCCTACCAAATTGGTAACTTTAAAAATGTGCTGTACGTATGCACAAATACAACCTCTTTCAAATAAAAACCGTTAGTAGTTTAAAATAAGCTATGCTTCCCCTCTTTGCCACACAGAATTATAAAATGCCAATGTTAAGAATGGCATTTATTTTTATATATTTAACCCTTCTTACCTCATTACCCAGCAAAATTGACACCGGAAATACCTTTTATTGCTTAACTTTTGAGGGGCTATTACCCAAGTGACCAAAGTATTTTATTTTCAAATTTAGTCATCTTAAATACATAAGTGGTGTGTAATTCAGAAGAAATCACACCAAATAACCTTTTCCAACCCCTTTTCTACAATAATACCTGGAATTAACAGTATCGCACAATATTTTCAAGGTATTTTTTTTGAAAAGGATATTAGACCAAGACAATTAGCCTATGATTGAATAGAAGATGAACTATTTTGTCTGATGCAGTAATATCATTTAGTCCTTCTGTATTTTCAAGTATTCCTTTTGTATGTGGAAAAAATAAGATAATCATTCAGCAGGAACAAGAAATGTGATACAAACAGCCTATGTCTTTTGCCAGGCAAAAAAGTAACACTGTATTAGCAAAATCTGTTCATTCCCATTGCATGACTTCTACTTTATACTACTATGTTTTAATCCATTCACAAAGTCAATGGGTTAAAAGAGCACCCATTTTATAGTTACATTATTCTATCTAAATCCAGAATTCTAAGTATGCTTACTTTAAACTTTCATATAATTCTTAACTTTGGCCATAATGGCTACTTACAATAACTGTAAATGGTTAGGAGAGTTATTTGGTATTTTAATGGACATTTATTCTGAACCCTACACATGAGAGTGGTTTTTGTTGCATATTGAGTATCCTGAGTTAATATCTTTTGTAGTTGTTCCTTCATGCTTTCTTTCTTTAGCTGCAACCACAGTCAATATGCTTGTAGGACAACAACATGGGCAGTTCAAGATTCGGATTCTAAAAAGGTTAAAATATAGAGTTACAAAATTTATTTTGGTAACAATATATAACCATCTGTATAACATTTAAAAAATACACCAAGTAGTAAATTTTGTTATGGTAGTAAAGCAACTGTTTTACCAGAAGTGCCAAGTTTTATTCACATGCAGGAGGGGAAAAAAGAGTGACACCACAACCAGATTTCTACATTTTTCCTCATCTGTCAGCTGAATAGTTCAGGCTTGCTCTTTGCTTTTGGATTGCTCCAGGGTTCTCCTAGTAGGTTTTCACACTGGGACTGCCTATTAAGCTGGGAGCTGTTGGAATACAGGAACATGATGGTTTTATTTCTAACATCTAGTAAAATGCTTAGCACATAGCAGATGCTCAGAAATTGCAAAGAATAAATTGCTTATTTTTTTGATGTGTGAATTATCTTTGGGTATGTATGTATATATGTATGTATGTAAGTATATATGCATGTGTGTGCAAAGGCATGTAGAAGGCAAAGATTAACCTCTGGTGTCATGTTATTCACCTTTTTTTTTTACTATTTTGAGCAGGAATTTATTATATAGCCCCGACTGGCCTTGAGCTCACAGAGATTCACCTACTTTTGCCTCCCAAGTGCTGAGATTAAATATATGCAGCATTACACTAGGCCCTCACCTTGTTTTTCTTGAGATAGGGTCTTTCAATGGGACCTGGGGCTTGCCCATAGATTATGCTGACTAGCCAGGAAGCCCCACAAATTTTCTTGCTTTGTCTTCCAAGGAATCCTCTCTTCTCTCTCTTCCCAGCATTAGGATTACAAGTGTACGAGCATACCTGGGTTTTTATGTGGCTGCTGGGACTTGAATTCAGGTCCCTAGGCCTGTACAGCCAGCACTTTACTGCCCCAGCCCCTGGATTTGTGAAGTTGGAGATGTTTAGTTTTGGAAAATTTCTGTGAAAATACTCCTTTACTTAAAAAAAAAACACCATCCATAATATCAAAGTTAAATTTTCTTTTTGGTAGATGATTTACTATGATTCAAACTTTTTATTATTCATCATATATTTAAAAAAACCAGAGAAACTTCTTTAATAAATCTGCATATTCTTCTTTCTCCTCTAAACATCATTGCATGCTGTGATTGGGATGGGGTATAATAGACGACCTGACCACTGAATATAAACAGTGAATTTATGTATCAAGAAGAGGGGGAATACCTTTTGATTCTCCATGCTAAAATCAAGCTTCATAGTTTTTTTAAAATGTATTTATTTAGCATGTATATGTGTGTACACATGCCATACTGCATCTGTGAGGGTCAGAGGTCAGCCTTTAGGAGTCGTTCTCTCCTTCCATCATGTGGGATTGACCTCAGGTGGTCAGCCTTGTCAGCAAGCACCTTTATCTGATGAATCAACTTGATGGTCTAAAACTCAACATTTTTGAAATACAGTAATGGAAGAAGATCTTAAAGAGAGTACTATTTTGTTCCCAACCTAAGACGCGTTTCTTATGGACTATAAATTGACTATAATACCTTCGGTTTCTATTCATGTTCCCCAGTCTTCAGGTCATAGTGACTTTAACCAAAATAAGGTTGCCACTCACCCTGAGAATATGTGAAAGAAATCAGGTTGTCCCATTATCTACCAAGGAACAAACTCAGTGGCTGAATTGCCAAATATTTTCCTTGGAGAAGAAATATTGCTACACAGAAATCAATTCCTGGAAGAAATAACTACATTAAAAATGAAACAGCTTTTTGTAAACCTCTTAAGTTCTAGATATTGTAGGAGTTGAGGCCCTGGAGAGGCCAAAAGCAGTTGCAGTGTCTGCTACTCAGCAGAGCCCCCCCAACCACAGACCAAGCTAAAGCAAGCAATCCAGGGGGATACAAAATTAAATGCAAATAATATAGCTGAGATGCATCTCATGGTTTACTTAGGACAAAGCAATCTGGAACAAAATGGTCAAAGCCTTTGAAGGCCACTAAGAAGTAAACTCATTACAGAGGAGAAACACATGCAGGGAAGTCATTAAAAATATATAACACGCTGAGTGTAGCACAAGAAGTCTGCTTCCAAAATAGCACTGCAGACACAGAATGTGGTGACTGATGGGCAGTGAAAAAACCAACAGATTTAATCTATTAAAATAGGCTAAGGTGGAATAACAGATTCAAAGTAAATTGTTCTACAATTTTATTCATACATCATAATTTTTTTTTTTGGTTTTTCGAGACAGGGTTTCTCTGTGGCTTTGGAGCCTGTCCTGGAACTAGCTCTGTAGACCAGGCTGGTCTCGAACTCACAGAGATCCGCCTGCCTCTGCCTCCCGAGTACTGGGATTAAAGGCGTGCGCCACCACCGCCCGGCTATACATCATAATTTTTATGTGCACATAAAGATCCTCTGCACTATAAACTGTATTGACTTGCTTGTAAGTAGACAAGTTTATGAGTAAATTACTTAGGAATTCGTCTAAATTATCTTCAGTGGATAAAATACCTTCCAGAACCTGGAGTGTCAGAGTCTTCTGCAGTAGAAAATATAGATTGCACATGAAAGAAATCATTCTGAGTTCTAAGGTCCCTCTTATGGTATATTAATTCTTCTAAAATATTTTTGAGGTAAATAAAAACAATGCTATCAAATAAATGTGGTTTGGAAACATGAACTAGGAAATAGTTTGCCATTAAGCATGCATCCCCCTGAATGGCTAGGAAAGATTTTACCTCTGAGAGTTGAAACATTTAGCTTGAATAAAACTTGACATTAAAAATGTTATAATTAGAGGACTAGATCATTAACATATATTTGGGGATTAGACATTTACAAGGACATTAAAAGTGTATACCTACAAACACACAGACACAGCACATGAAGGTACAAACACATTTGATTATTTTCACATAGTTCCCAGAAAAACATGCAATGCTAAACTGACTTGGTACTATACAGATGCAATTTTGGAATATCTATTTTGAATTTTCAAAATTAACCTTATAAGTCAAAATTATAATATTTCTAGATAAGTATCAAGTATTTTCACATGAGGGCAATGCCATGACAATTTGTTCTTCACAAATTAAATATATTGTATTAACATTCAGCTCTGAAAACGTCAAAAAAATCATTAGTTTTAGCAAATTTAAAGTATAAATTTCCCCATATTCCAAGCAATGCATCTTTATATTTTTGCAAAGAATAGTATAAAGTTCACCACACCAACAGCAGAGAAAATTTAAAGAGTGATATTTTCATTTTTTTATAATGCTGTTAATCTGTTTTTTAAAGCCAGCCCACTTGTTTAACACTAGGTACCTGTTACAATATATTAGACTCGTCTGAGAATGTTCGTAAAAGAAGAGGTCTGACAGAAGGTCTGGCGGATAATGAGTCAGATGCCCTTCTACAGCTCAGATTGCTCTGTAATAGTGAGGCAAAGATACTTAAAGCATTTGAAGATAGGTTAACCTACTTGGTGACAAAAATGTAGGAGAAAAAAGAAATCATTTCCTACAGACTACTTTCCTGGCCCCACAGTACAAATTACTTATTTTACTATACAGCAAACACATAACATTCAATTGAATACATTTAAAGGACCAAGAAAGTCTCCAATTCAAACTGGTTTTTGTGGTAGAAGTAAATAGACATTAGCAGTATGTGGCAAACTTGGGTTTCTGGGATGGCAGTGGTAGGTTATATGGTAAGATGAGTCAATATGGCTTGATTAGTGAACCTTACCATCCTTTTGGTGAACACCTCTGAAAGTTGTGCTGGTGCTGAGTGTGTCAAAAAGGAAAAATCTGTGCAAAATACTCTTGTCCTGATGAACAGGCTAGTTCTAACATCATGGCTACCATACTGCATATCCCATATTACAATGTTATAGTTTAAGTTTTTGAAAATTACTCTCTCTCCAGTAAGACAATTTAGAAGGTGACTAAATGGTTAAAAGAAAATGGTAAAATGTTTTAAGTATCAATAGAAAATATAAAAATGAATCATGAGAAGTAACTGTCTACGAAGAATCAGAAATGGTGTCAGGCAATGAGGATGCAAGCAAGTTGGTACATTAAGAAAGGAAATCACCTTATTCACTCCAAGAGAAACTGTGATTGCTGGAAGTTTGAGAAAGCATGAAGATAGTAGATGTTCCTGAGGAAGGGAGACGTTTCGTTACCTTGTTCACAATTGCACAAAAGGTGGAAAATTGCAGTAGAAAAGAGAGAAATGCAAAAACAATAAAAAAAGAAGAAAAAAGAAAGAAAGAAAAGAAAAAGTAAATATTCTCTTAGATGTAAAACATTTAAAAAGAAACCTTGAGAACTAGAAGTAGAAATGACAAGTTAGTTTTGAAGACGTTACTTACTAAAGTAAAAGTAGAGTTAGTTAAAAATAATCTATTATATGTTCCAGCTGCTATTTTCCTGTATATCAACTTAAAATTATTATTATTATTATTATTATTATTATTATTAGTTTTTTCAAGAGAGGGTTTCTCTGTGTAGCTTTGGTTCCTGTCCTGGAACTAGCTCTTGTAGACCAGGCTGGCCTCGAACTCACTGAGATCCGCCTGCCTTTGCCTCCCAATTGCTGGGATTAAAGGCATGCACCACCACTGTCTGGCTCGAATTTAAAATTGTTTTAATGGGGATGTACTATTTTAAATAAAATAATTCTAATATGCCTCTCATTTAAAAATGTTAATCTCTAATCACTAATTCACTACCATATGTTTGTTCAAAATCCATTGGTCAGAGAGTTAAAATCAAGTTCCATCACAAATCACTAATGTACCTGAAGTAACTATCTTTCCTATTCAATTTTACAGACATTATAAAAGGACCAACATGTAGTTGGGCAGTTACAAGTTAAAACTCCAATCAAAACCAATATAATGAGAAAATATTTGGTGGTACAACCATCCTACCATTTGCCCCTGGATTAGCGGTTAATTATTTTTTTTATAATGGCAGAATTCAGTTTCACTATTTTTCTTGCATAAAAGACCTCTTTACAAAGGTAGGCTAAATTTTTCCTATGTAAAGCACATATTTTTCAAACTAAAAATATTCAAGGCTATATTAGATAATTAGAAAATCTGAGAGATTCTTTTTCCATGTCTATAATCATGACATAATTTGCAGAGTTGGCTTTGGCACTGCCCATGCAAGAAAGAAGATGGGAGGTCAACTATGGATAGAGATGAACTCAAAATCTCCACTAATCAAGATTATCCATTAGCCAAGTGTGGTGGTACACACTATAGTCCAGGTACTCAGGAGGCTGAGGCAGGAGGATCACTATAAATATGACTCTGTCTCAAAAACCGCAAAACAACTAAACACCCACCCAATCAGAAGACTACTCTTAACTTTTTATTCATTAAATAGACTTAGGCAAAGAAAATAGCTCACATGATGTACATATCCTAGAGTTTAATAACAAACCTTTAAATACAAATATTTGCATTTATTTGTGTTTTAATATAACTATACTTCTTCCCATTTATATTTTACTTTAAATGCAGAAGTTAGGGACATACTGGCAATATGCAAATTACCAATTGATAAAACTAGAGAAATATTTCAGATTCTGAAAGAAAAAATTATTTCCATCTTCTGTTTTGTGGGCAACAACCTTGCAACAAGATTAACGTGATACCATGTCCCCATTCCTAAGTTTAATGTACAAACCTATCTATTTAGAGACTGCAACTATAAGCACATTTTGTTGTGTTCAAAACTTGTATCCAACCACCAGATAAAAGTAGTACAGGAAGCAAAAATGTTAGGGGCCAATAGATTAAGTGTTTAGAGACTTTATAAAGAAAGAAAAGAAAATATAAGCATACAGAAAGCAGTAGAAAGCATGACATGAAAGAAAGAACTCAAAACAATAAAAAACAGAAGTAGCAACTGGTAGTGGTAGATAGGACAGGTGATGATGAGCTAAACCAGTGTAAAATGTCCACACTCTTGCAGTCACCTACAGAGCTTTGAGAGCAGCTTAAGTAGCAGTATGCCAAAGAGGCCAAGGATAAAGGCACATCCCAAGAACCATGACAGTAGAGGTTTTCCTTACAATATGATTACAATTTCATTTTATTTTCATTAATACATTTTTTCAGCAGTACTATCCTCTTGAATACATGGTTGTATATGACACTGTAAGGATTGCAACATGACATCATTTTTACAATTTATTATTAAAATGATATATTTTTCAAAATGCATTCTCTGGGAACTTTAGTCACATAGCTGAGTTTTTTCTTTCCCTGTGTTCTCCTCTTAAATAGCTTCATATCTATATTGGAATATTCCTTCATCTTTTGTGTAGACATCACTCACACTAGGCATAAGAATGTTAGTGGGTCATTTCCTAGTAATTAGACAACTCTTCTCATGTCTAGCAGGCAGTGAAACCTCCTTTTAGATTGAGGTAGATTATATTAGAAAACATTACATAAGGAAAGTTGGAAATCTCCATGCAGGAAATATAAAGTAGAGTAGTATTTACTACTTGCCTAGAGGGTACAGAGGTACCAGGGGTATTTCAATGATTTACACATAGGCGATTGTGTTTATATGAGATGCAGCTTTCTGAAATACCTCAAACCTTAAACCTTAAACTCATTTTCAGGTGTTATCTTGCTCTTTCACTGTTCAACATTCAATGGTAGCTCCATCAAACACCGCCAATGGTATGGCTTGCAGCTTTGTCATTTCAAAAATTGGAAAAGGTTTGCTGTTCTTTTTTTTTTTTTTGAGATAGGGTTTCTCTGTGTATCCTTGGCTGTCCTGGAACTCACTCTGTAGACCAGGTTGGCCTCAAACTCACAGAGATCTGCTGCGTTTTCCTCCCAAGTGCTAGAATTTAAGGTATGTGCCACCACTGCCTGGTTTAAATTTTACTATCTTTAAAGATGAGGCTTTAAGCGCGCGCGCACACACACACAAAACCCTTGTTACCGAAAATTAAGCTAAGAGGTAAATGAACTGCAATCCAACTATAACTCAAGTGACTTGAGTCAGCTTATTTTCAAAGATATATTTTTAAAAATTCAAATTAGAAAATTGTCATTTATAATCATTTATAGTTTACTGAGACTTTTCATTGTTATGTTTCTCTTTCTTTAATATTTGATTTATTCACGTATATGAGTTCTCTGTCTTCACGAACAGAAGAAGAGGGCATCAGATTCATTATAGATGATTGTAGGCCACCATGTGGGTGCTGGGAATTGAACTCAGGACCTCTGGAAGCCAAGTGTTTTTAACTGTTGAGCCATCTCTCCAGCCTTATTTTTTTTCGAGACAGGGTTTCTCTGTGTAGCCTTGGCTATTCTGGAACTTAACTCTGTAGATCAGGCTGGCCTTGAACTAACAGAGACCTGCCTGCCTTTGCCACTTGAGTGCTGGGATTAAAGGTGTACACCACCTGGCAAATAATATGCTTTTCTTCCTAATTTTCTCTTGAGATTCATAAATATTCCAAAGGGCTATTTTTATCCTCAGCCTATTGCAAGTGTATTTATTCTTTGGCAATTTTATATACGAGTATAAGCTATTTCGATCACATTCATCTCCCCTTCTTCCCACCGTGCATTCTTTTTTTTTTTTTTTTTTTGGTTTTTCGAGACAGGGTTTCTCTGTGGCTTTGGAGCCTGTCCTGGAACTAGCTCTGTAGACCAGGCTGGTCTCGAACTCAGAGATCCGCCTGCCTCTGCCTCCCAATTGCTGGGATTAAAGGCGTGCGCCACCCTCGCCCGGCCCCACCGTGCATTCTTTATTTATATATTTTTGAGATTTATTTTATAAGAGTATTTCCCTGCATTTTTGTCTGTAAACCATGACCATGCATAACAGCTGTGTAAGTCATAAGGCATCAGATCCCCTAGAACTGTAGTTACAGATGGTTGAGAACTACTAGGAGAACCTGGGTCCTCTGCAAGAACGTGTGTTCTTAACTGATAAACCATCTTTCCATCCCCGTGAGCATTATTTATAATGTAAACATCGTAACAGATTTCAGCAGTGCTGGGGGCTGCCATTATTAGCTTTTTTTACTGGAGATTTTTAGGAGGAAATTACTCTAATCTTGTTATGCTACCAAAAACCATATAATTGATTGTATCATTATGTTTTATATTTGTTCAGAAGGGTTCAGAATGGACACACTTTATAATGTAACTAGAAGGAAAATTCCAATGAGCTGGGGCCATGTTTGACTTATCCCTGAATTATGACCACCATAGTAGTTAATGAACGCATCACGAATCCTCAGACAATATAAATTGAATTGAGAGGAACCCAAAATAAAGACGCTTTTATAATTATTAAATATATTAGCTTCCTTTTCAAATATCATAGAAGCATGCTCACTACCTACTGTGAAGTCTCGTTTTACAAACAGCTGCAGACAATTCTGGAGTATGTAGAGAATGTGTAGTATGAATACTGAAGTTAGGGGCCCCTTCTACTCTAGATAGGGACACACATTTCAATTTCATCCCATTATATAATCTGCTAGGCTCTGCGCATGACCCATTGTAAAGTAATCTGCTTCACATTAAAGTAAGCCTACCTTATCATTTAACAAGGAATGCTGAGCAAAACAGGAAATCATTCATGCTGTCACAGTATTAGACATTAAACATAAAGACTAATATATTTATGGAAAATAAGATACTCATTCTGCTTTGTTTAAAAGTTGGCTTCTTTTTGTTTATCAATGGCCTAATGAACTCTGATGTGATCTATGGCTGTCATGATTCTGTTGGCCTATATGCATTCATATATATTGTACCCCCCCCCACAGATAGTATAGTTTAGTGTTCATAACTGTTCTGACACATTTGTCACTCTAAAAATCCTATAGAGTCTGAAAAACAATTTAGCCTTTCAGACACTGGTTATATAGAGAGATGTTCATCAGCAGGTGGTTCAACAAATGTTTACTGGTTCAAAAAGGGATAGGAATAAATGAATGAATGACTAAATGAATGAAAATGATTATGGAAAATTTCCTGTTTGTTCTAGCATATTTTCACGCCAAGCTATAGCACAGACATTAGAATTCCTTCTGTCACGGATATAAACCACAAAAAAATTTCATGCTGACCCACTGGCAACATTCTATCCTTTCAGTTGAAATTTGGAATCTCTTGTCTACATGGAATAAAAATGCTCTGAGACGAGGTATCTATTGCTTCCCAGCAACATCCTTCCACTTAATGGTCTATACAAACATCACTGGGCATTCCAGCTGGTGTCTCATTTTTAGAGAGGGCCTAAGAGATATTGGGATGATACATTTTGAAGATTTTGAATTCTGGGCATTTTTTTTACCCTTAAGAGCATGAAGCTTGAATATGAGCCATTTTGCAACATGAGCTTCATTATCCCAAAAAGAAACATTAGAAGCAGCCCAAAATGTACTCTTCAGATTAAAAAAAAATAGAAGAGTTATGCAAGAGAACCTCCTTTGTAGATTCTGTACTGAGAAAGGATCTTTCCTTTCCTTCCTCCCTCCCACAGGGTCTCAGGGTTTAGCAAAGGATGACCTTGAGCTGTGATCCTCTTGTTGCTCATTACAGGTATGGGCCACTATATTGATTTTAGGTAATGCTGAGGATGGGACCCAGGGCTTCGTGTATACTAGGAACATATTCTACCAACTGACATATATTTGCAGTCCCTGAGCCATTTTTCTTCTTTCTCTTTTCCTTCCCTTTGTCTTACTTGATCATTTTTATTTGGCTATATGAAAATTGCCATTTGAGCCAGTCTGGAAGAAAACGGTTCCATCAATACTACTTTCTATTATAAAACTAAAAACCGGGCTCAATGGAGCTAGTCAAAGGCCACTGGAAGGATTAAAAGAGTAAACAAATACAGCTTATCTATACTAAATTATGATCATCCTATCCCATAAGCCACATAAAAATAGGAAGCTCAGAGCAATTCTGGCCACCTAGCTATATACTGCTCTCCCCCGCCCCCGTACTGAGGGCATGAATGTTTTCAAAGCTGTATTCCTAGGCCTTCTTTAAAATACTTTTGAAGACATAATAATTTCATATCTACATGTCTACATAATGTCAAAAAACTTGGTTTCTTAATTCAATATGCAGGAAAACCCCTATGATATACCAGCTTTGTAGTTCAATTGGTTGATAATTTGATTAACTACATCAAGTGGTCATGACCACACTATTTCCCAAAAATACTGCCTTAATGGTGTTATAAGAGCTAGTTGATAATCAATATGAAGAAAACAGGACTTTATTTTAACAAAGTGAGCAAGTGTTGGCAGGAATAGGATATACTTAATTAATCTGCTAGTAAAAATTTGCCAGTGGTTTTTCAGGCAATTCTAACCCTTTCACTTAAAAGCTTTTAAAGAAATGTCCAAAAGGTATCAGGCAATGTGCCAGAGGGAAATAACTTCTCTTGGAAGAAATATAATTTAGAAGTTAACAATACAAACACACTTAGGAACTATCATAAATTTTCACAAGTGTGTCCTGAAGAGTAAGGAATTCTCTTTTGGTTGAATATACTGCTAGGAGACAGGGCTAGAAGCAACACAGAGATTAAGCAGCACTATAATCAAAAAAAGGGGACAGGTTTGAAAGGCAAATTAGGATTATCAACTGAAAAAAAAATCGGCAATTTCTAAGGTCAAAGCTGAAATGTTGGTGTGGAAATTCCTGATATGAAAATTAATTCTGAGATAAATACAAAATAAAGTCTTTTTCCCTTTAAAAATTCCATATGGAGCATATGAGATACTCCATATGGATTACTAAAGATCACACAGAACACTATTAAGGAATCTACTTACCACCTGCATTGGATTACGAAGTTTTTACTATACTTTTTATGCAGAAGAGGAAATTAAGTGATGAACCTGCAAGGAGGGGTTTAACATGCTGTAACTAATGCAATTCTCTAAATAAGGTTTTCAGTTCACGGTGACAGTGAAGCCGCTTCCAAATATTAGACTAGAACATAAATGTAGTTCTTACCCTGGCACTTCTTCTTCGTACATTCTTTACTACTATTAGGAGAATCTCAGGGAAAAGGCTGATAAATATTAGGAGAATTATGGCCAACCATGTGGATATAGAAGACAGCATTTGAGCAAACACAAAATACATTCTCTGTTGTTTCAGAAAAGGCCTGGGATGGAAAGAAAACACAGAAAACCAAATTAGTTCCTGTCTTTTACATTTAAAAGGAATCTTCCTCACACATATTAAAAAAAATTTTTTCTCTAGAATATTCCCAAAACAGTATACAAATTTCATTTACCAAACGTTTAGAAAGAAAAGGGATGTAAATAAAAAAAAAAAAAAACGTAAAATTCATCTGACTTGGAAACAAACCATAAAGCTGCTAAATGGTGAATATTTTTATGTATTGGAAAATGCCAGAGCTTAAAGATATTTAAGAGAAATGAAATTAATTTCCAACCTAATAAGCATTTATTTCTTCGGCTGCCTTATTAAAATGAGGATTTTTTGCTCATTCATAAATCTAACATTTTAAATGAATTATCTCCTTAAAAACTTCTGCAAATATATGAAAAAGAACTGTAAAGTCCACAGACACTCATAACTGAGAGGAATCTAGTCTTCTTGTCTGCAAACATATACTGAATAACAATTTGTGCCCAGGAGATAGACAGATGGCAGACTATAACTGCTAATAAGATAGTGTAAACCTTAGAATCCCAAATCCATGAGATTTCTTCATCTGAAATTGGAATTTATTTTAAATCATTCACTGAACTGTTCTATTTATTTACTTCTTTTAGTTTTTTTAAGAGAGGGTTTTTCTGTGTAGCCTTAGTAGTCCTGGAACTTATTCTGTAGATCAGGCTAGCCTTAAACTCACAGAGATCTGCTTGCCTCTGCCTCATGAGTGTTGAGATTAAAGGCATGTGCCACCACCTCCCGGCCTCCACTGAACTGTTAAATAGAGTTAAGAAACACATCCTATCTCCCTTATCCTCTAAACTGTATAACACATAATCTTTCTATCTAAAGTATTACTTTAAATTGAGGTGAAGACAGTAGCTGCTTAAGGTCAGGATGCATACCAGATTATCATAAATGATTTGGAACTCAAGAACTCCAGGTTAATAACTACTTGCTTCTTTTATTAAATCATTGATCATGCATCACACTTCATGAACTAGTTTCTTTTCAGACCTCCACACACATTGTACTTACATGCACAAATCCATTCACACACATATACCGCATAATATTTTTTTTAATCTTAAAAAGGAGGGTTGGGTTTCAATGTCTCTGTGTTTTACATGTTCAGAGCAATTAGTGGGAATTCAGATAAAGTTTTATATAATCTCCAGTCCCATTTTGTTGGTTGTTTTATAATTTAAGTTCATGTGTAGCTGGGCAATTCTGCTTAAGCACAGAATTAAGTGAATTCGTTTTACTAAGCAATTTACAGATAGGTGGTATATATGGCTTGAGTACAAGGGACAAAGGATGATTCATGTCTCTGGCAGGACAGAGCTGGGTGGTGTGCAATTTTATCACACTATCAAAAACTACACTTAAAACTTATGAACTGCCTTTTTCAAGAGTTTTCATATGATTTTTAGTAGTCTATGGTTCTTTGAGAACAAGTAAAACCCTCAAGCAAAACCATAAGCAAGGGAAGACTACTGTACTTTATTTTCAGTAGGTATCACTGTCTGACAAAGTCTTTTCATTTAAATGATTGAAAAAAAGTCTGTATAAAGGGTTGAAATTGTTTAGGTTATAGAAATATTTTATTATTATGGAAATTTGTCTAACTTTTAGAAGTTCAGTGTCAAAGAATTATTCTGGGTAGACAACTATATATTGCATTTAGTAAATTTTGGTTTAGTTGCATAATACTAAAGAAACAAGTATTTTTTTCAGTTTTGCTTCTTAATCATTAACTATAGAGGTGCCAAATATATGCTATAATTACACACTTTGTAAGTGATTCAGTGTGAGTGTGTGTGTGTTTTATTTTGAGACAACTTCTTACTATGTAGCCCTTACTGGTCTGGAACTCACTACATAGATCAGGCTACATATCTCTACCTTCCCAATTCTGACATTAAAGGTATGGTCCACTACACCTGATCATGTTTTTTAAAGGATTTTATCTTAAATAGATTTTCAAAAGAGAAACTATTTCCCTTTTGGGTGATGTAAAAGATCTTGTATCTTAGGATGGCATCAAACTCACTATGTATAGCTCAGGGTGACCTTGAACTTCTGGTGATCCTGCCTCTCCTATAAATACTGAAGGAAAATGCTATCATTTAAATGATAATAGGGTCCAAATCAGTGGTTCTCAACCTTCCTAATGCAGTGATCTTTTAATACAGTTCTTCATGTTGTGGTGACCCCAAGCATAAAATTACTTTGTTGCTATTTCATAACTGTAATTTTGCTACTGCTATGGATTGTAAATATCTGTTATATGACCCCTCAAAGTGGTCATGACCCACAGATTGAGAACACTGGTCTAAATGGACAATAATCTAAGTTTTAGCCAATGTTATCAGGTTGAAATTTCATAGGAAGCACATTTCTAGTGGAAATCACATTCGTAGTCAGGCTATTAATTATTTTATTTCACAGAGAGCTGTTAATATATTTATAAATTTAAATATTTGGGCAAAGGCTATACAAATACTGAATGAATATTTGAATTCAATATTTGAACTAAATAAATGGACTAATATACTTAGAAATTTTACTTCAAAGTAGCAACATTACAAGGTATAAGTAACCTCTAGTCCATTAATATCAAAGATTAGCCATCTTACATATCACATAGTCAAAACTTTAAAAGTATGTTTTACATATAAAGCATACATACATATTGTTATTTAATATTGCTAACATATGTACAGCTGCTTACCAAATAATTCCTCCCCAGAAGAATGAGAAAAAAACATAAAAGGCTAAAGAACCCCAAATCACAAAGTGATTTATCCACGTCCAGAATCGGGTATCCAAGGCAAGCTGAAAAGATACAACATAAGTATTTTTTGACAGGCACAAAATATACTAGGTAATACATTATGATATCTGATAATTTATACAGATGCAATAGCTATGAGAGGATTTCACCTTAGCCATGGCTTTAGAAGAGGATATAACTAAAGGAGCAGAAGCTAGGTGTTTCAACGTACTAAAATAAGAATGCTGAATGCTGCTGTGAGCTCTCTAAATTCTATAGTACAGGCATAGAAGTGTAGTTAAATCAAGTAATTTGTAGTAGAGGGCTACAGATGTCTCACTATTGAGTTACAGGTGACAAATGAAGCAATGGTAATAACTAGGAGGCCAAAGTCCCAAGTCTTCAGGTAATAGTGACCAGGGATATAATGGCAAATGAGATCTAGTTGGTTGAGGCAGGTATGCCAAAAACTAGGAGAGGAAGAGTAGCTAAAAAGAGCAGACCAGAAGTTATAAAAGAATGAATAGGTAAGAGTCACTATATGTAGAGGCAACTACTTCTATGCATCATACACTATGAGCAATGAACCGTGGGTACAGATTTCCAACTACAAAACCATTATCTACTCCATTAAATTAATAAAAATAGTTGCCTTACATTTTAAAAATTGCATGTTTCTATAAAGATTGATAGTGACTTTATTTTTAGATTGCGGCACGTTTGGTTTTCAGATGTGATCTAGAAATAATATCATCTCATGCATTTGCTTAAAATTTCTAGCTCACACAGGGTAACAAGCAGAGGACTTAATTTTATTTGCAGAGACACCATGGTCCTTAGCTCTGTTACAATTTTTCATTCATAAAAGGATGTTGATAACATTGTGATGCAGACAAATCCTGAGTTCCCACTCTGGCCTGCTAGGGGAAAATGATACAACAGTACTCCTTGAAAAGAAGATGGAGTGGATACCATGAGCCACATGTGCTGCAATGACGCTGAGTTTAAGTGTAAAGCAAAGGACTAGGACAATAAACTGAGAAAAGCAGGACACTTCCATTGAAGAATCATGATTTTATGAAACATAATAATAGTTAATAGTCGACACTGATACATTCTAGACACTTCCATTCAAATATTTTGTTTTCATTCGTGACCTATGACAAAACCCCCTAAGATGGAGAAAGTGCTACTTTTAGCTTTATTTTATACAAGTTGAAATACAGAGAAGTGAGGTTACTTGTCTAAGGACACATAGTTATGAAATGGCTAGCCTGAGGTTAATTGTAGAATTTATTTAAAATCCTTCAAAAAATGCTTGGCAAGATGGTTTGGTAGGTAAAATGATTGCTTGGCAAGCCTGAAAAGTTAATCCCCATTACCAAATGGTGGAAGGACACATTGTCCTCTGACCTCCACAGGTATGCCTTGGAATAGAAATACGCATACACAGAGTAAAGTTCTATGATATTACTGAATTAGCAGATGAACAATGAAAATATTAGAACAAAAATATAGAGACAACAGAAGTCCTATGACAACGATATTTCTGAATTCTGATTCAACCTAAGACTCCATGTGAAATATTACTAGAAGGATCAGATGAATTATGCTTTCAACTATGAAAATCCGAATTCATGAGTTTCAAGGACAGCATTTACAGCATTTAACAAAGCTTTAGAGCATTATTATATGGCTACATATGAATGACAATGATTTTGCCAAGATTCCATTTCTTCTGTTGCACTGACTTTTGTTTATTTTTGAGACAGGACTTGCACTCAGGGCAAGGTGGCCTGGATCTCTTGGTGATCCTCTCGCCTCAGTCTCCCAAATTCAGGAACTATAGATACAGACAATCAGGCCTATTCCTGTCACATATCTTTATATACTTCATTAAAAAACATATGGGTAAATTCATTATCACCGTGCTCTTTTGCATACATATCTTGTATACAGACACTTATTTAAGTGTCTTAAGGAATAAAATTCTTTTAGAGCCAAGTAGGGATTCTTAAATAGATGCTAAGTTATTAAAGATTCAAGTTTTTTTAAAATTAGAAATGATTTAGGGCTGAAGAGTATTGACTGCTCTTCTAGAAGACCCAGGTTCAATTCCTAGCTCCCACATGGCAGCTCACAGCTGTCTCTAACTCCAGTCAGAAGGAGAGCATTGCCTTCTTCTGGCCTCACTGGATATTTACAGGCAACATTCATACATATAAAAATAAATAAAAGTTTTAAAATATTTATAATTTTATTTATATGTATGTGCAAATGTATGCAGAGACCAAAGAGGGTGTTGGATCCCCTGCAGCTGATAATATAGGCAGTTGTGAACCTTGCAACATGGCTGCTAGGAACAGAACTCCACTCCTCTGCAAAACTAAGCAAATCCTCTACGGAGCAATCTCTTCAGCCCTATGATACAAGTTATCAACATACATACATACACACACACACACACACACACACACACACACACACACACACACTTTCAGCCTCTTTATATATTTAGTATAATGCCTTAAAAACAACAGTTAATTTTTCCTTTGCAAGTGGGTATCAATTGCAGACAGCTTCTTGGTTAGGGGTGGGAATCCATGCTTACTTCCCCTTCTGGATTCTAAGTGTTTCTGAGTTTTTGTTTGGTTTGCCTGTTTGTTTTCTAAAGAGAGAGAAAACGAAATGGCAAAGAGCTAAGTGGGTAGGTAAGATCTAAGTGGAATTGGAGAAGGGAAAAAGCATGATCAGAATATACTGAATGAAACATTTTTCAAAAAAATAAAACAATCCAGTGATTAAGGAGAAATAGGTCTCCATTAAGTATGGTGTCTGAATTTCTTTATTTTCAAAATAAAAAACATAGAACATTGTAGTAGAAAAAATGAAAAAAATATACAAATACTAAAACCCCTAGCATCACATATATTTTAGTAAGCATTCAGAAAAGGACTTGGATAACATATAGTAACACAAATATTAAGAGACAAAGATTATACAAAATATATTTGAATAAATAAATCTGACCTTCAGAGTTACAGTGAATACTAAGACTGTAAAAACAATGGTCCCAAATGTCCAGTTTCCATATATCTGAAAAACATTTAAAAATTATATGTACCATAAATATACAAGCCTGCTGAAGAAAAAAAATTCAGGTTTAATCCTGCATGTAACTGCCAAAGATCTTTTTGTGAATTATTTGGGAAAATGGCTTGGTTGTTAAGATTAAGTCACAATGCTAGACTTTCATGGATAGATATACCACATCTGTGGTTGGCTGGGTTCATTACCATGCAGCATCAAACAGGGAGTTCACTGGTTTGATAAAGGAAGAGGGAAACATACTATTCCACTAAAAGCACCACTTATTAAAGAAAGTCATCTGGATGACTCATGTCACTAATGAGTTTGGTATGTTTTCGTCCTAGAATATAAGGAAAGTTCTTACATAAACACAAATGGACCCACATTTTAAAAAGCGAGTCTAATTATTACTACATCTGTTAGCATGTGCACACCAAAGAGAAGCAGTACCACTTATAAATCCAAACGATGGCAATGAATGGCACATATGCTTACCAAATGCTGTCAATATCTGAATGCATAATGTTGAAACAGAAAATGAGATGTAAAACGTTTTTAAAAAATAAAAACAAAACAAGGTTACTAGAAGAAAAAAAGGATTCAACTAAATCAGACATGGGTTTAGCTGCTGATAAAAAATTCTTATTTATGTAATTTTAGAAAACACTTAAAAAGGATGGTGACATATACAAGAAAAACTTAATTTGGACATCATGAACTCAAAATGCATAATGAATCAGAAAAAGGCTGGACCACTGATTCTTATATACCACCTAGAATATTGGCTAAGCCCATGAATGTCAACATAAAGCAAATCTGAAGCATTTTTTAAAAGCAGTAGCCAGTCATATACAATTTTTTGTGTCAAAAAATAAAAAGGAAAACCCACAGAACTACTCATGGCTGAAGGATCTGAGAAGTCATAAATTTGAACTTCTATTTACTCGAAGATGAAAGTTGACTTGGAAAGCTAATGTGACTTTCCAAAGGATACCCGAGATTTATCAGGACCTTCTGTGGCAAGTGCTAGATATATGTATTCTAAGGTCAATTAATAGTTTTTCTAATAGTTACATTAAAATTAATAATTAGAAAGGATTCATACTAAACTAACTTGTTAGTTCAAATTAGGAAGGCCAGATTATAGTATCTAATTTCAAAGTACTATTCAAATTCATTGAGCTTACACTTTTGTAAGAGATGTTAGTTGTATAGGGTTCAGACATAGTATATGTAATAAATTATTTTTGAAACTTAGCTTTTTGCTTCATATTTATGATAAGAATGACCATAAAAGTACCAAACATGGCAAAGGAGAACACAGTGAAAGCAACATGCAAGGCAGAAGTTTCAGTTTCCCAGTGTGTGGCTGCAGGAAGATGGCCTCTTCCCTTGTCCCACATCAGTATTTCTCTCCTAGAGTATGAGTAGGTCAAAATCATCCTAGTGCAGCTGCTCACTGATATTGTCACTTTCTCAGAAGGGGCTAGCAGAGCCTACACAGCATTTTAAAAAAGAATACTGCAATCCCACTTTGAAAAGAAAGAAAAGATTCCCTATTTACATACTCGTCTAACACTACAAATACACAGTAGCCACCGCTTCAACTACTAACTAAATTAGAAATGCAGGTGGCATGGGAAAAAGCTATTGTTTTTCCTATCACAACACATAGGTATAAAGTCTAAAGTCCCAAGAACTCTCTCATATCCTAAAAACTATAAACAAATTCAGATTCTAGACGGTTTGCTTAAGCTCTCTTCCTAAATTTGGTTTTATGAGACAGGGTTTCTCTGTGTAGCTTTGGAGCCTGTCCTGGAACTCACTCTGTAGACCATGTAGGACTTGAACTCACAGAGATCCTTCTGCCTCTGCCTCCCGAGTGCTAGAATTAAAGGCATGCATCATCCATCACCCAGCCAAAAGTGATTTATGACTCCAGTACTTTCTTTATGTTAAAGACCTAGTGCTAAGAAAAATAATTTGCAAAATGATTACCACAAACGTGTGTGAAAATGTAGTGTCTATGGGAAAAATACATGGTTTTTACCTTTCCATTGTCTTCTAAGGATGTAGTCTGAAAAAGGAAGTAAGTTCCAAAGAAGAATACTGTCCCTTCAAAGGCAGCCAGAAATGTCCAATATAAGAAGGGCCCCAACTGTAACATAGCATTGCCAGTAATTTTCCTATAAAGAAATGGAGAGAAAAATTAATGAATCTTTGTAGGCTGTTGAGTTAAAGATACAAGGAAACACCAAAGATGGGCATTAATCTAAGCTTGTTATAATGAAGGAGCTACCCTGATGGACAGAAAGATTTTTTCAAATAAAGAGATGGACTGACCAAAGTTAGGATATTCATGTAATCACTACCTGACCAAAACACTGAAGTAAACTGTAAAATATTTCTAAAATTTTGGCCAAGCAAAACAATATCAATAATAATTATATACCATTTAACACTTATTTATAAAATAGTAGGAACTGAGTTAGGATTGATTATCCATCTATTCATTCATCCTTCCATCTATCCATTCATCCATCCACCTACCTACCTATAACATTATACATGTATATATACATTAAGTTAGTGTATATATATATATATATACACACACACATACACACTCACACATGTGTATGTATGTATACACACAGACAGGTAGAGAGAGGGAGAGAGGGAAGAAGCAGAGGGAGTACAAAAACTAAGTATTATTCTCATTTACAAATAAATCTCAGAGAGGAATATATAATATAATGGTTCTCAAACTCCACACTTAATTAAGTGGGGAATCTTTCAAAGCTAGTAATGATGTCCTAATAAATGGCAGGTAGACTGATTAAAATTAAAATTTTGAAAATACCACAATCTTTTCAGTCAACACCAGAATGTGAAGAATGTCAAATAAGGCTACTACATCTAATGAAGCAGATGTGCACAAAGAAAATGGGTTTGTGTATGTACCTTTTTTACTTCTATTTAAAATTTCTTATACCATGTATCTAAGGGTGTTTAATTACTCAAATAGCACACCTATTGATAACTCTACAGAATGTCATTGGGCTATATTATCCCAGTTATAACATAAATGCAATGTTTTTTTTTTTTTACTTACTTAGGATAGAGAATGAAAATATGACAAATTACACAATTTTTTTTAAATATTTATTTATTTATTATGTATACAATATTCTGTCTGTGTGTATGTCTGCAGGCCAGAAGAGCACATCAGACTTCATTATAGATGGTTGTAAGCCACCATGTGGTTGCCGGGAATTGAACTCAGGACCTTTGGAAGAGCAGGCAATGCTCTTAACCACTGAGCCATCTCTCCAGCCCCCACAAATTTTATCTTATAGGACTTTTAGGTGCAAAACTGAAGTTCTGGGGATGCTATCTGTAAAAGGAAAAGTAGGAGAAGAAAGACATGGCTGTTTCTCAGAAACAGGAAAAGAATCTCTCTGAAGACTCTTAGACTGAGTGTCTAGCAAATGCTAGCTAATGTGGCTTTTCTAGTCAGAGACTTAGACTGAGGTAAAGGGTACAAAAGCAGAAAGTGATTCCTGTCCTTGTAAAAATTCTGTGGGAAAAGAATGGCAGGAGTTTCATGGCACTGAATTTCTAGACAAACTTTTTAGTCACACTATGATGAAGAAACTGTTAGAAACTCACACAGGACACCCAATATAAAGGAAAGCATAAATAAAAACAGGAATATGGGATCTGGAGAAAGGCTGAGCAGTAACATGGCTTGAATACCTTTGTATGTCATGCAGCAGATGTTACCAGACCTGTTCCTTTTGTTGTTTAAAGCTCAAGCAATCAGCTATACCTGCCTACTCTCTTAACAAAAGTATTACTTCAGGTTTCAAATTTCTATTAAGAATATTAAAATAATCAAATGGTTCAAGTCAATATTTCTCAAAATGTGAGTCATATAAGTTCTAAAGGTATAATGCATAATGTCACTGCTAAAATTCAGTAGGAAAATGTTGAGGTACATGTACACAGACCAGGACTTCATGTTTATAAAAAAGTTGTCAGGGTAACAATAATCTATTGTCCAGGAACAAGCTATGATCAAATTTGTGAGGAAGGTAAGTCACACTTTAGGCTGGGCCACAGTTACGATATAGCCTTTTTTGCATCTCTATGAAAGACTGTACAATAACTTATGTCCTATAAATATCCATTTAAGTATAGAACTGCTATCTAGGAAAATAGACCACTCTTCTGTTGAATGATATATTTTAGCTGAAAATTCATAACAGAACCACTTAATGAACCAAGTGATCAATTCTGTGTCCTTCCTACCTATAGAGTAAATGAAACCCACTACTTAAAGCCCAGCATGGTAACTAATACCAATAATACCAGAACTGATGCAAGAGGATTTCACACATTCTACCATGAGCTACATTTTCAACTTACATATACAATCGAGGGTCTGAGGTCAGAGTATCAATGTTGATGTGCTGTTCCATTAGACTGTAGGCCAGGATGGGCAGGGATGTGAAACAGATATTGTACATTGTAAGATACGCAGCATCATAGAGTGGCTGAAAAGACAAACAGAAAAACAATGTTCTGCAGTGATTCATCTATGATATAATTATTTACTTGTAAAAACCTGTAGCTATTTTTTTAAAAAATGCTTTTTGTGGGAGCAAAGGAAACTTTGTAAGTAAGGACACTCTACCTGGTAGAGATAAAAATATTGAAAAAATTTATGTGTCATTATTAACAAACTTTACCCTTTAACAGGATCTTTAGAATATTTGCAGGCCATGTCTTATTCTTAGTAGACAAAAACTATTAACTTTATGTAAGATTTTTCAGTTGCTAAAAATGTAGATATTTAGTAGCTATTTTAGAAAAGACAAAATAAGCTGGGCAGTGGTGGTGCACGCCCTTAATCACAGCACTCAGGAGGAGGCAGAGGCAGGTGGATCTCTGTGAGTTCAAGGCCAGCCTGGTCTAAAGAACTAGTTTCATGATAGGCTCCAAATCTACAGAGAAACCCTGTCTTGAAAAACAAAACAAAACAACAAAAAACCCAAATAAATAAATCCAAGCCAGGAGTTCTTACAGAAATTAAACATAGTGAGTAGCCAACCTATGTTGCAGATCTTTTCTGGTTAATATTTTGTTATTTTTGATTAATATTTTATAAGTCCAAATGCTACAATAAAGCTCAAGTCCTATAATAATGTTGCCCTCTTCCTGAGAGTTCCTCTGATGTGTGTTCTTACTCTCAAAGACTAATAAACTGAATTTGATCAGCTGTAAGTATGAGCTTAGGAATCTTTTCCTAGAGTGCTTTGACAGTACTGAGCTTCCCACAGAGGATGGAATTCTGAAAGCATTCAGTAAATACTGGACAAGTGAACACAGAAGGCACACCACATTTGTAAAGCCTCGATCAGAAATTAGAAAGTTTTCAAAATATATTTCTAAAGATTTTTAAATTATGTGTATAGATAAGTTCATGTGACTGCGTGTATCCAAGGAGGCCAGAAGATGGTGTAAGATTGGGGAAGGGGTGGGATAGGGGTAAGGGGAGGTGGGGAGAGAAAAGTGAGAAGGGGAGGATGGGGGGAACTTGGGGAATTGGGATGGTTGGGATAAAGGAAGGATGGTTATGGGAGCAGGGAAGCATATATCTTAATTAAGGTATCCAGCTTAGGGTAGGCAAGAGACCTGAACCTAGAGGGGCTCCCAGGTGCCCAGGGGGATGTCCCCAGTTAGTGCCTTAGGCAGCTGAGGATAAGGAACCTGAAATGGCCCTATCCTATAACCACACTGATGAATATCTTGCATATCACCATAGAACCTTCATCTGGTGATGGATGGAGATAGAGACAGAGACCCACACTGGAGCACTGGACTGAGCTCCCAAGGTCCCAATGAGGAGCAGAAGGAGGGAGAACATGAGCAAGGAAGTCGGGACCGTGAGGGGTGCACCCACCCACTGAGACAGAGGGACTGATCTATTTTTTATTTATTTATTTATTTATTAAGGATTTCTGCCTCGTCCCCACAACCGCTTCCCATTTCCCTCCCCCTCCCCCGATCAAGTCCCCCTCCCTCATCTGCTCGAAGAGCAATCAGGGTTCCCTGTCCTGTGGGAAGCCCAAGGACTGCCCACCTCTATCCAGGTCTCCTAAGGACTGATCTATTGGGAGCTCACCAAAGGCCAGCTGGACTGGAACTGAAAAAGCATGGGATAAAACCGGACTCTCTGAACAATGAGGGCTGCTGAGAAGCCAAAGACAATGACACTGGGTTTTGATCCTACTTCATGTTCTGGCTTTGTGGGAGCCTAGCCAGTTTGGATGCTCACCTTCCTAGACATGGATGGAGGGGGGAGGACCTTGGACTTTCCACAGTGCAGGGAACCCTGACTGCTCTTTGGACTGGAGAGGGAGGGGGAGAGGAGTGGGGGGAGGGGGAGTGGTGTGGGAGGAAGGGGAGGGAAATGGGAGGCTAGGAGGAGGCGGAATTTTTTTTTTAATTTTTCAATAAAAAAAGATCCCCATGGAGCTAGAGTTAAAGATGATTGTGAGCTATCCAATCTGTGCCATGTATCGAACATCTAACTATCTAACACTGTTCCATCTCCCTAGCCTATAAAACTTCCATTGAAAAATTTTTAAGTATTTTATGACCTTTATTCAGGTGAAAGTATTTATCAAGTTCAGTGTTGTCTAGACACTGCTAGAAGTCATGATATAACCATTTTGTTGTTGTGATTAAAAGAATCCTAACACACACACATGTAAATGTTCTTTGATTAATAAAATTCATTTAAATGTGATACTAATCAATACAACTACATATTTTCAACCAGTGAAGTAAACATATAATTACAATGAAAAATGATTTGAAAAGGTTGGAAACAACTTGAACAGAACTTTTTTTAGTTCATTCACTAAACCATTAGTAAAGAATATAGTACATGCAAAGCACTGGGGAGAGACATGATTCATCTTTACATTCATCAATGAGTTCAAATTAAAGACAGGGACTAGAGTGAGGGTATACAGGGAGCTGGCAGACCCAGAAGGGGATCATCTTTTTTGGCTTCAGCAGAGAAAAAGCATGTGATATAGTATATTCAACATTCTCAATGAAGTTAAGAGGATAGTTCTGAATAAAAATGGAGACAATTTTGATATAGTTCCTATGAACAAAGATTTAAGGCCAGCAAAAACTATTTTATTGAAATAAAAGCATAAAAATATGCTATATGTCTTCTTATTTTCAAATGAACTACTGTACTAGTCCATGACATACAATACGGAATTTGCCCTGGAAACTACCCATTTTCACTAATGAGTAAATTAAAAGAGCAACTCCCAGGCTGACTGTTGAGTAATTTAGTGTTGAAAACAAAGAAACATCAATCTATCTTTGCTTCAGGATGGAACTTTTTTTTTTAAGATTTATTTATTTATTATGTATACAACATTCTGCCTCGATGTATGCTCTCATGCCAGAGGAGGGCGCCAGATCTCAGTACAGATGGTTGTGAGTCACCATGTGGTTGCTGGGAATTGAACTCAGGACCTCTGGAAGAGCAGCCAGTGCTCTTAACCTCTGAGCCATCTCTCCAGCCCCTCAGGATGGAACTTTAATTGTAATTTTTTGGATGCATAATAAGAGGAGACAGAATGTCCCACAAAAAAGGTTTACTTGATAATACTGTCATCTTGCTAAACCTGTAACGAATGTATCTTTTTTCATGGAAAAAAAAAAAGACAAGTAATATCCTAGTTTTACTAAAACAAAAGAAGTTTTTGTTTTAAATAGTGATTCCATTTCTACATTTTCACAGCCCACTCTCTGATTTCCAAAGAGTATCTAATGAGACTATGGATTGAAAAAAGACAGCCTATATGTACATCAAAAACACAATATAAAGCATGTTGCTGCCAGCACTAATACAAGTCCAAAGTAAATAGTAACGATTTGTGCTTCATGCCATCTCCTCAGAGACCATTTCTTTACCTGTAACATTTTTAAGATGTCGGCTTACTTCTTCCCTTGGGTACTCAGGTCTCTGTCTCAATGTTGATTTATTAGAGAAATTGTTCAGATAGCTCTTTCAAAATAGTAGCCTCTCATCTTGTCACAGTACATCCTTTTATTATTCAATTACATTTATTTTTGGTACATTTTATATTTTTTCTTCAGAGCACTGATACCATATCCTATATCATGTATTTTTCTGCCTCTTCCCTATCACTATCTTGCAAGTCTTAAAATGATTTGTTTGAAACATTACAATATCCTCAGAAAAACATTGCTTCCTGGCATTTAGAATCAAGAGAAATAAAAATACTTTTAAAATTTGGAAATTCAGTCACAGATACCTGTGACAATGTGGTTATCCAGCTTGTCAAAAATCATTAAACTGATTCTAGACTAACCAATTTTCTGAGTCAGTCATCATTATAGTTCTTGTATTTGCTACACTTGTACTAAGAAGGGCACATACCTGTTGTGAGAATCCACAGAAGAATTGGTACAAAAACTGTGGCAAAATGAAGCAAAGGTTCTGGAAAATATTAAGACCAAGATTAGTATTTTTACTTAATCACTTTAAAAACCCCCACAGGGCATTGTACAAAGTCATTCCTAAATCCTTCATCCCTAAATGCAACAACTGTCTGTTGCAAAGATATAAATAAGTTAGTTTTAAATGATTAATTGAAATCAAATGCTTAATTCATACTGAGTAACTTTTCCCCTACCTAAACAAAAGAGAATCTCACTTATGAGAAGAACCTCTTGCTATTTCCAAATTTCTTTTCTTTTCTCCTTTCTGAAGAGAAAGATCTCACACTACAGTCTAAGGTAAGGTAGTTGGGAACTTGATATATACTCCTATTTCTTTTTTTTTCCTTTGTGAAGAGAAAGATCTCACACTACAGTCCAAGGTAGTCTAGAACTTGATATATACTCCTATCATGTCTCAAACTCATAGTTTTCCTCCTGCTTCAGCCTCCTGTCCTGGGATTCCAAATATAAGTTACCATGCTGGCTTTCTATATTCTTGTTAAAGGAAAGAAATATGTTTATCTGATATGAATACCTAATGTATTGTCCCTTAAATTCCAACTGGATTTATAGAATCACTATAGACTTACATAATATCCAAAATGTGTATTTTAATTTAAATATTTTATTTTCAACTGTGTCTCTGTGTGTGTGCATGTGAAGGCCAGAAGAGGGTGCTGGAATCTAACTCCAGTCACCTGCAACAACAAGCACTGTTAGACCTAAGTTTCTGACCTCAAACATATATTTTAAAGTTGATTAATAGGAATACATACTCAGAATATTATTATAGTTTATGTTGACACCAATAGTAATTAACTGATACTTCTCTTTATTAATGCTTCATTAAACAACATGGTCAAGAATCTGCTAAAAGCAAAGTGGGTCATTATCAAATTGAATAGCTAGGTGTGTTGGCATAGGCCTTTGATCTCAGCACTCGGGAAGCAGAAGCAGGCAGATTTTTGTGAACCAGCCTGGTCTACAATGTTAGTTCTGGGCTAGCCAGGACTATACAGCAAAACCCTGTCTCGCTCTCGCACAAAGGAACAAGCTTCTCTTCCAAAAGTTATCCTCTGACCTCCACATATGCACTATAGCACATATATGCACCCCTGCCCCCATTAAATAAACAAAATAAAAGAAATAGGGCAGCTGGTGGGATGGCCTCCGCAAGCAATGGTACTTGCAAGCTTGATAACGAGTTTAATCCTCAGAATTCACATAAAGGTAGAAGGATAGAACTGACTACATAAAATTGTTTTCTGGCCTCCACATATGGGCATGCACAGGCACCTTTCTTGTGTAGAAACCAACAGATGTGAACCTGTTGTACCTTGAGTGGAGGACAGAGAGTTTGAGCTTATTTTTGCTCTCTCAAAGTTGTTGACAACAGGTGTGGCTGCAAAGGAGCAATTCTGACCTAGGCTGTGGCTAATTCATATTTTGGCTATAGAGGTGGATTCACTCCACCGGAACAAAAGGTCAGAGAATTCAAGTCATTTCCTAATGTTAATGAAGTCTGTTGCATTCCTCCTCCCCTTTTGAAGTATATAGGCATGTGAAATATAAATAAGGTGGATTCAGTAGTCACTGAAAGTCCCTCCTGATGCTGGTCTGTGTTTCTGTCTTTTATTTCTCTTATATCTCTGTTCCTTTTGCTTAATAATTCTAATCCTCAAGCTCTTACCCTGGAACATACGAGTTTTGTTAAATTCTTTTAACAATAAGAAAATAGATTAAAGAAAAAAAAACAGGCTGGTGAAGTGGTTCTGCAGGTGAAGGCACTTGCCTCCAAGCCTGAGGACCTGATTTCTAATTCCTTGGAGTCACACGGTAGAAAAAAAGAACTACTGCAAGCTGTCTTATGATATATACACATGTGCCCTGGCACATATGCATTCCCACACATATTACACTAAATAAATACATGTACATTAAAAAACAAAGCCTCTTTCTCTAAAGGGACTTACCTTTTTATCTTGAGAAATACTAAAATCAAACATAAAAATGGCAAGTGGAGAATTTACAAGGCCATTACAAGCCACGGAGTGTTACTATAAAATACTGAAATCAATGCCTTTAGGCAAATGTACCAGAACTATGATTTTTTTAAATGACTGTCATTCTTCAAAGTAGGCTATAAACTACTTGAGTGCTCTGGTTTGAGGCCAGCCTGGTTTACATAGGGAGTTGAAGGACAGACAGGGCTATATAGAGAGACCCCAGGTCACTCCCCTCCCTGACAAAAATTCAGAACTTGAATGTGGCACAAGGCTTTAATCCCAGCATTGTGGGAAGCAGAGGAAGGTGGATCTGAATTCAAGGCCAGCCCAGTCCAGGAGAGTTATACAGAGAAATACTGTTTTGAAAAACCAAAAGAAGAAAAAGGAAAAAAAAATATTCATAACTTAAATTAGGTCTTAAGGAAGGATGGAATAATAAGAACCAAGGAAAAGTCATATTCATTTTAAACATATGGTAAAGCCAGGCACAATGGTGAGCAGCTGTAATCTCACAGTACTCAGGAAGCTTGAGGCAGAAGGCAAATTCAAGGCCAGACTGATCTACAAAGTAAGCCCCTGTTTCAAACACACATATACATTTAAAACAGTAAAGCAACCAAAAAAACAAACCAAAACAAAACAAAAAAACCCTACCATACCACACTCAAATCCATATATGGTAAAACAACATCAGACTGAGGGATTACCTTTAAAGAAAGATAAATGAGAGACTGGCATGCAGGCCCAAGCTGCGCTCAGGCCCAAGCGTCGGAGACCGGGATAGTCCAAGCATGAAATAGTGAAGCCCAAACTGAGAGCAGATCGACCCACAACAATTAAATCAAGTAGGTTTTTTGGGGCCTGGCCTGCAGAGTGGTAGTACTTTTATTGGCGAGGTCCACGGGCGAATGGGGAGCCTGGTCCTGTCCCTAAGGACCCTCCTGAGTGGGGAGAGTGTTCTTGGCCCACGGTGGGACACAGGAAATGGAGCGGGGGGGGGGGGGGGGGGGGGGGGGGGGGGATTTCCCCGACCCCTTGACACACGCCCCCCCCCTCCGCTAGTCTGGGAGGGCTGCTGTGACTTCTCCCTGGCCCATCCCAGCTTGTGCCCAGGGGCCTCCTTCACTCCCCCTCACTTCCGCAGGGCCACAGGATCACCCAGTTTAGTCTGTTTGGGCACTGGGACAGGAGCTCGGGGCGCAGCTGGAGTTTCTCTGTTTTGGTGGCTGGCCGGCAGAGTGTTAGGATTTGTTGGTGAGGTCCCTGGCGAATGGGGAGACTGGTCCTGGTCCTGAAGACCCTTCTAAGTGGTGAGTGGGATCTTGGCCCGCGGCGGGAGCCAGGAAACGGAGTGAGGGCATTTTGTAAGCGGGGCCCCTGGCCAGCAGGGAAACTTGATCCTGTTTTAAAAGACCCATTAGATAGCATCGATAGGAGATGGGCAGGCGGCAAGGAAAGAATTCACCCAACAATCTGAAAAACAACATTGAAAACACCAGAACCCAATGATCTTACAACAGAAGGACTTGAACACCCTAACACAGAAGAGGAAAAAATTGACTTTATGAAAGCAATAGAGTACCTTAAACAACATGTAAAAAAATACCCGTATAGAAATGGATGAGAAATATAACAAAAAGTTTGAAGAAATAGTAAATACGTAAATGATACCCTGGGAAACCAAGAAAAAACGATCAAACAGGCAATGGAAACAGTTCAAGAATTGAAAACTGAAATGGAAGCAAGGAAGAAAACACAAACTGAGGACCAGCTGGATATGGAAAATCTAGGTCAACGAGCAGAGACTACAGAAACAAGCATAATCAATAGAATACAAGAGATAGAAGAAAGAATCTCAGATTCTGAAGACACCATAGAGAAAATAAACACACTGATAAAAGAAAACAGCAAAGCCAACAAATTTTCATCACAAAACATTCAGGAAATATGGGACACAATAAAAAGACCAAACCTAAGAATAATAGGAATAGAAGAAGGAGAAGAGTCACAGCTCAAAGGCCCAGAAAATACTTTTAACAAAATTATGGAAGAAAACTTTCCCAACATAAAGAAAGATATTCCTTTGAAAATTCAAGAAGCATACAGAACACAAAACAGACTGGATCAAAAAAAATCCCCTCGCCATATAATAATCAAAACACAAAATATTCAGATTAAAAAAAGAATATTAAGAGCTGCAAAGGAAAAAGGGCAAGCAACATATAAAGGTAAACCGATCAGACTTACACCTGACTTCTCTATGGAAACCATGAAAGCCAGGTCCTGGATAGAGGTACTGCAGAAACTAAGAGAACATGGATGCACACCCAAACTACTATACCCAGCCAAGCTATCATTCACTATCAATGGAGAAAACAAGACATTCCAGAATAAGAACAAATTTAAACAATACATAGCCACAAATCCAGCCCTACAGAAAGTAATAGAAGGAAAATCACAACCCAAGGAATCCAACATTGCCAACACTGCCTACAATAACTCAGGCATCTAGTGACCCTTCACCAGCACAACTCAAAGAAGGTAGACAGACAAACTCTACTACCAAAAACAATAAGAATAACCAGAGTAAACAACCACTGGTCATTAATATCACTTAATATAAATGGTCTCAATTCACCTATAAAAAGAGATTGGATACGAAAACAGGATCCAACATTCTGCTGTTTGCAAGAAACATATCTCAACCAAAAAGACAGGCATCTACTCAGAGTAAAGGGTTGGGAAAAGGTTTTTCAAGCAAATGGAACTAAGAAATAAGCAGGTGTGGCCATGCTAATTTCTAACAAAACTGACTTCAAACTAAAATCAATCAGAAGAGATCGAGATGGACACTTTATACTCATAACAGGAACAATTCATCAGGATGAAGTCTCAATCCTGAATATCTACGCCCCCATATAAAAGCACCCACTTATGTAAAAGAAATATTACTAAAACTCAAGGCACACATCAAACCACACACACTAGAAGT